ATTATGTTCATTATTTACATTATTCTAACTATTGTCCTCATCTTTGTCGCCATATTTATTACAACGTTTCGGCCCTTCAGTATCTGTCTATATTTCTGAGATGAGGTATTATGTACATTATTTACATTATTCGGACTATTGTTCTCATCTTTGTCGCCATATTTATTACAACGTTTCGGCCTTTCAATCTGTCTATATTTCTGAGATGAGGTTTATGTACATTATTTACATTATTCGGCCTCATTTTGTCGCCATATTTATTACAACGTTTCGGCCCTTCAGTATCTGTCTATATTTCTGAGATGAGGTATTATGTACCTACATTATTTACATTATTCGGACTATTGTCCTCATCTTTGTCGCCATATTTATTACAACGTTTCGGCCTTTCAGTATCTGTCTATATTTCTGAGATGAGGTAATATGTACATTATTTATATTATTCTGACTATTGTCCTCATTTTGTCGCCATATGTTACAACGTTTCGGCCTTTCAGATCTTTGTCGCCATTTATATTATTCGGCCTCATCTTTGTCGTTTTATTACAACGTTTGGCCTTTTTGTATCTGTCTATATTTCTGAGAATGAGGTATTTGTACATTATTTTACATTATTCAGACTATTGTCCTAAATCGCCATATTATTACAACGTTTCGGCCTTTCAGTATCTGTCTATATTTCCATTATTATGTACATTATTTACATTATTCGGACTATTGTCCTCAAAGCATTTTTAGATTTTTATTACAACGTTTCGGCCTTTCAATATTTGTCTATATTTCTGAGATATTGGGCATATATTATTTACATTATTCGGACTATTGTCCTCATCTTTGTTGCCATATTTATTATTAACATTATTATAATCAGTATCTGTCTTATTTCTGAGATGAGGTATTATGGACATTATTTACATTATTTATTGTCCCCATCTTTGTCGCCATATCTATTACAACGTTTCGGCTTTTCAGTATCATATTTCTGAGATGAGATTTATGTACATTTTTACATTATTCGGACTATTGTCCTCATCTTTGTCGCCATTTTATTACAACGTTTTGACCTTTCAGTATCTGTCTATATTTCTTAGATGAGGTTCATTATTTTCATTATTCGGACTATTGTCTTCATCTTTGTCGCCATGGATAAAGGCATTAGTTTGATCCACTGACAAGACCCAAAGAGTGTGATTTCAATACCCGGTTAAGGCGCTGGATAACTTTGAGAAGGAAATTAACAGGAGATAACTGACATCCATTAGACATGGCACCTGGAAATAGAACATTCTACCCCAGTGAGTGAAATAAAGGGTTCAGTTCGACATTCCAACCACCTGAAGAAGGCCGGAATATTATTTTAACGGCTGAAACTTTGTGATAAACATGGCGACAAAGATGAGGACAATATCCGAATAATGTAAATAGTATTTTTTATTTATGGAATATTATATACCAAACTTTATATATATATATATATATATATATATATATATATATATATATAACGCAATAAATAAATCAAATTGTACCTACCAATTCTATCAAAATTACAACTGAAAACAATGTATCTATGCTTGATAGATTCTTTTTACAGCTACTACTAAACTAATAAAAGACTTCACAGAAAACAAATAAACGATAAGCATGAAGAAGAAATTTACTCTATAACCTGTAATAAATGAAGAAGAAATTTACTCTATAACCTGTAATAAATGCCTCGTGGAATACATAGGAGCAACCTCGAGGAATTTAAATAAAATACATAAGCACAAATGAGATCTTTTAGAAAACAGCACACTCCATGCATTACTTGTAAACTGTTGTGGTCTTGTTAGGGCCAGAAATAAAGACACAAATAAAGGAATTGAGTTAAACAAATATATTAACAGAAACAGTAATACAAACATATACAAACGAGAGTGTTACAGCACGAATGTTCGAGGCGACTGTCAGAGCTGACTGCTGGAAACTTACCTCTCTCCAAAAAAGCAGTACCTGATCCTGTTTATAGCTGGGAGTGTCCATGCGTGCGTGGGTAAATTACTATACCACTAATATGTTATACATCACAGTATTTTATCTATCTACCTATCTCAGTTTATGTGTCCATACATATCTATCTATCTATCTATCTTTATATACCATTGTAGCCTTGTTAGGGGCAGAAATACAGACACAAACAGAGGAAATGAGTTAAAAAAATATATTAACAGAAACAGTAATACAAACATACACAAACGAGAGTGTTACAGCAAGAATGTTCGGTCCGACTGTCAGAGCTGACTGCTGGAAACTTTCCTCTCCAAAAGGCAGTACCTGCTCCTATTTATAGCTGGGAGAGTCCATGCGTGCGTTTGTAAATTACCATAACACTTAGTATGTTATCCATCTCAGAATGTTATCCATCTCAGTATTTTATCTATCTATCTATCTATCTATCTATCTATCTATCTATCTATCTATCTATCTATCTATCTATCTATCTAAGTGTTGTGACCTTGTTAGGGCCAGTAATAAAAACACAAATAGAGGAATTGAGTTAAGTAAATATATTAACAGAAACAAGCGTATAAAAACGAGAGTGTTACAGCAAGAATGTTCTGTCCGACTGTCAGAGCTGACTGCTGGAAGCTTCATTCACCAAAAGGCAGTACCTGACCTTATATATAGATGGGAAATTCCATGAATGCGTGTGTAAATTAGCATAACACACACCGTAATGAACCTGTCAAGAATTTCGATTTTGAAAAAATTCTTCTTTAATTAAAAGAGAAAGCAATTCACTACGGTGAAAATTCATAGAAAATTCTTATATACATATATATTCTTTTATAGACTTGCGAAATCATGCACAGTAAATTTACGTACCAGGTTCTGGCACCATTTAACAATTCTTGGCAGGTCGTCTATTTTGACAACGTGCGGTCTTTAATAACAAGAGTGATAAAATCATAAACAAAAAGAAACAGCGACTACCTGAAACTGCCGAGACTATTTATACAAAAACATATAAAAAAATTAAAAAAATAATTAAATAGTTTAAAATAACAGCGTCCCCTCTTCTTCCTTCGCATATGGAGTTACATCAACGTAAACATCACTTTGGTTCGATATTCCGAATGACAAAACGTACCACGCGAAAAAAAATGTACCACTTTCACAATGATTTTCCTAAAATTGTTAAAAATATATCCCCCTGCCATATATATATATATATATATATATATATATATATATATATATATATATATATATATATATGTGTGTGTGTGTGTGTGTGTGTGTGTGTGTTTAGATAGATAGATAGATACATAGTATGTCAGTGTTGAGGGGTAAGTAATTAATCGTGACCTGATTGGGATCTGCACTCATTAACTACAGGTAATTAAAAGGGTGAAATAAAATTAACTCCAGACTAATTAAATTGCCGATAGTTAGTTGTTCAAAGTTTTTCTTCACATCTTTCATCTGAATGATTATAGTCTTAGCATAATTTGATAGAAATAGATTAATTTCAGGTACGTTCCCGAAGTTAAGGAAAGTCTTATGTCAGTGACTAAACCAATTATCCTACTCCACATTACGAGTGAGGCGGCTCGTTTTCCGTAGGAGGAAAAACAAGACCTAACAAAGGTCGGAGGAACTCTCTGAGTCAACGGCCAGCTACCTAGAGGTGGTGTCTCGATAAACCACTGTGGAGAAGGCAACGGGAAACCACTACACTATCAATCCCAATCCAGCTAACCAGAGGTGGTGTCTCGATAAACCACTGTGGAGAAGGCAACGGGAAACCACTACACTATCAATTCCAAGACAAATCATGACTAACAACTCAGATTATACGAAACCTAACGGCGTAGAGGGGGTTATATCTATGGGAATTAAGAGCAGGCGGATGTCAGAACGTGGTTTTGGGGAGGAATAAGAGGGAAGGAATTTACTGAGAGCTGCAAGGGATAGAAGGAGGTGGAGAGCCATGATCGCCTACGTCCTGAAAGAACATGGCACATAAAAAGAAAAGAATACCTGCTTCTAAGTTATTACTGTTATGGATGACTTTAGTCCTGATCATATCCATAATGGTTTTGGAAATGGTGGTTACTATTTGGATGCTGTTCGGATGGAATATCTTTTTTCTGGTATAGTTGTTGCTATGGATTTGGTAGTTAGTATTATGTATCTGTTTTCGTCAGGTTTATTATTGTGGATAATGTTGCTATTTTTATTGCTGTCGTGCATTTTATATGCTTTTCTTTTTGCGTTTTGGATGAAGGATAAGGATTTCTGAATGTGTTTTCTATTTGTTTCTTTTATGTGCATGCATTGCGGGCTGCAGATTCGTAATGCTATAATTATAATTATACCAGATTTAATTTTATTAGAGTGGAGGAAATAGAAGTTGACCAGGTCATTATTGTTGGTAGTTTCTCTGTAAATGTTAAATTTGAGATCGTTATTGTTTCTGTGTAATATGATATCCATCAACAGAAGAGTGTGATTGGGAAGGAGATGTTTCTACTTAAGAGCATTCTATCCTATCTTCGGTTTGAAATTCAAAAAAAATATCAAATGAAGAAGGTCAGAGCGTACAACGTTGTGAATGTGACAAGAAAGATGAGTACAAAATTCCGAACAATGTAAATAACTTAGTCTAAATTCGATCCTTATCTTTCATACATTTACTTCATACCTCCTCATTTGACGTTCATAGCTACAACGTCTTTCTTTAATCCTCTATCGAAGTGGCTCTTGGGCCTTGTATTGTTTGAAAAGTTAGAAAAAAAAAGCATATTTATTATTTTGGGGACAATAGCCACTAAAGGGTTGATGTGTATATTTATTTTGATTTGCTGTTTGATTCAATCACTTTGAAAGTTTTCCACAACTTGAATCAGAGAGTGAAAGATCAGAGGTCAAGAAAAGTCATGTCTCGAAAAATTGATTAATGCTGGGAGAGGCCAAATGGTTCACATGTCTTCACTATCCATGGCTGGGGAATGCTGCCAAATGCCCTTCTGTAGTCAATCCATACCACAGAGAGGTTGATATTTCTGTTATTATAGTTTTTAGATTTCGTGCGATCAATCAAGAATTCATCCCTAACCCCGGAGTATCCCCGTCGACAAAGTTTCTGCTCTATCGGAAACAAATTGCCATTATCTATGTAAATATATCTTCTTTCTGCCTGTATCGATTTTCGGATTTTAGAAGTAGTTGCGAGCCATGTAATAATTTTAGCTTCTCTTTAGACGAAAAGCACGCCACACTTTTACAATCATTATTATTATTATTATTATTATTATTGTTGTTGTTGTTCTTGAAAGAGAGAGCAACACATTAACATTGTGACACTGGGGTAACAAATATCAGTCAGTCAGTTCCGTGCCATACGTGATACACGCATAAGCGATCATGTATCTTTCGATACATGACTGACGAGGCAGATATTTTTCCCCGTAGTAGATTGCTATTTCCTTCTACGGTAGACCAGTTGCCATCCAAGGCTATAGAGCTCAGTCTGTCCTGCTATTTACCCAAAGCTGGGGGGAGAAGAAGAGCATTCATACCTTTCCCAAGGGTATTAGCACGTAAGTGAATGTAATGGATTTGACTGGAATTCGAACTCAGCTCTCCGATTCCTCAATCCGTGCCTCCTAGACAGTTATGTGCCCTGCGTGATACACGCTTAAGCGATCATGTATCGAAAGATACATGACTGACGAGGCAGATATTTTTCCCCGTAGTAGATTGCTATTTCCTTCTACGGTACACTAGTTGCCATCCAAGGCTATAGAGCCCAGTCTGTCCTGATATTTACCCATAGCTGGTTAGAGAAGAAGAGGATTAATACCTTTCCCAATGGTGTTAGCACGTAAGTGAATGTAATGGATTTGACTGGAATTCGAACTCGGCTCTCCGATTCCTCAATCCGTGCCTCCTAGTCAGTTATGTGCCATGCGTGATACACGCTGAGGCGATCATGTATCTTTCCATACATGACTGACGAGGCAGGTATTTTTCCCCGTAATAGATTGCTATTTCCTTCTATGGTAGACCAGTTGTCATCCAAGGCTATAGAACCTGGTCTGTCCTGCTATTTACCCATAGCTGGGGAGAGAAGAAGAGGATTCATACCTTTCCCAAGGGTATTAGTACGTCAATGAATGTAATGGGTTCGAGTGGATTTGAACTCGGCTCTCCGATTCCTCAATCCGAGCTGTTATCCATTACTTCATATTGAATTATTATTAGTAGTAGTATTGGTGTGTGGAAAACGAAATTATCGAATCAGCTTTGGTCTACTGACAACTCATGGTTGATAAAGAATAGAAAATAATAAAAAAATAAACAATAAAAAGGCAATATACGAAAAAAAAAAGAAGAAAAATGGAAAATTACTGCGACACTGGAATTGGCACTTTAAAAAAAAAAATAGGTAAAAAAGCCTTTTGCCTCATCTTTGATAAACTCTCAGTGTCCATATGACAAGAATTAGCAAATGAATTTCGTCTTCAGTGATTTAAAATATAGCGGAATCTCGGTTCACGAATTTAATTTGTTCCTGAAGGCTGTTCGTAAACCGAAATGTTCGTAAACCGAATCTATTTTTCCAATAGGAATCAAAGTAAAATGGATTAATCCGTTCAAGGTCCGAAGATTGCTCATTTAAACAGTATATATAGTGGGACCTCGGTTCCTGAAGGCCGTTCGTAAACCGAAATGTTCGTAAACCGAATCTATTTCCAATAGGAATCAAAGTAAAATGGATTAATCCGTTCCTGGTCCGAAGATTGCTTATTTAAACTTTAATAAACAGTATATATAGTGGGACCTCGGTTCCTGAAGACGGTTCGTAACACAAAATGTTCGTAAACCGAATCTATTTTTCCAATAGGAATCAAAGTAAAATGAATTAATCCGTTCCTGGCCAGACGAAAACTGCTTATTTAAACTTTAATAAACAGTATATATAGTTGGACCTCGGTTCCTGAAGGCCGTTCGTAACCCGAAATGTTCGTAAACTGAATCTATTTTTCCAATAGGAATCAAAGTAAAACGGATTAATCCGTTCCTGTCCCGAAGATGACTGCTTATTTAAACTTTAACAGTATATATAGTGGGACCTCGGTTCCTGAAGAAAATCGTTCGTAATCTCAAAATGTTCTTTCCTAACCGAAGATGACTATTTTTTTTTTTTTTTTTTAATATGGTGGAATCAATGTTCAAGAAAAAAATGTTCACAAACCGGAACTAAAATTTTAAAATTGAAAAAAAATAATTAAAAAATGAAAAAAAAAAAAAAGCACAACACAATACACGAATGTATACAAGATGGCGGTCGACTCAGAAATTATTCCGTTCGGATTAACTCGGTTCGGCAATGTTGTTCGAGAACCGAAATTTTGTTCGATAACCGAGGCATTTTCATCTCGAATTTTCTGTTCGAAAACCGATTTGTTCGACATGTGAGACGTTCGTGAACCGGGGTTGCACCGTATC